GCTTACGGCATTGGTATTCAGGTTACGATGGAAAAGCGGGCTAAAGCCATGTCGAACATGACTATGGTAACGAAATGGATTAATGCTGGAGATGATCGAAGAGCTCATGTAGAGCAAAAGCTGCGAACCTGGGTCGAGGTAAGAACTCGAGCTTTAGATGACATTGCAATGCTGCTGACACTGTCGCCTGTAGTTACATCGGAAAGCCGCAAGGGATCCAGTTAAAGCACGTAGTTCCAGAGCATCATCACCAACTCCAGTCCAGATCCCATCCATTCCCTGCGCAACATTACCCTCTTTGCTACCTGCCAGTGTAGCCTCCACTCCGTCTTCATTGACCAGACGCCTACTACGTACACCAGTGAAGGGAACTCCTGTTAAGGCCTTGAACCTGTTCCAGACTCCCGAACCGGTAACGCCATCCAAAAATAGCATCCCATTCCCCACCCCTGGTGATACCCCTTCATCTTCATCGGAGGCATCTGGTTCAGTTCCATCTACTCCAGTTAAAGCTACACCAACTCGAACACCCTCAACTTCAAGGCGAGACGCCCTCCGAGAAAGGATTCGACAACGTTCGCTTAGCAATAATGCAACTCCTACCAAGAATCGAGTTGCGGTCACGCTTGGAACTGATCAAGATGGGAATGTCAAGAAGAAACTTGTTAGTGCCGAGGAGCTTAAGCGAAGATGTGTGTTGGGTAGAATCGAGGGAATTGCAGAATGTGTCTCTGTGTAAGTAATACCGACGGCTAGTTGCATCATGGTCATGAACTGAACATTTTTCTCTTAGAATGTTTGCCTCTGGCACGTCATCGATTCTGTCATCGCATAAGAAGCGGATCATGCGGATGGATGATGTGGTTAGGAACGTGGTGAAAAGCGCTAAATCTCCGCTTTCCGATGGTAAGCATACACTGTCGTAATCACAGTAACTGAGACATTTACGAGACGTTGCGCTGCAGCGGAAGCAATTGATGCCATCGATCTTCTGATGGACCTTTGTCCAACATTTATTCAATGCCGGGTCATTGACAAAGAGAGGTGGATAGAGATGCCATCTGCACCACCCAGACCACCACCTTCTCCAGGAAGTTCCCGTCGTTTCCCACCCTCTCCAGGAGGGTTCACTCAAGAGGATGTTGAGGAAGAACTACTCAGTCGAAAAGCTGGCGAAGGGAGTCCTAAAAAGGTTAGACCTGTTGGGTTGTTTAGTCCAGAAGGCAAGAAGGTGATGAGCCTCAGAGACGTGAGGGAGAAAATCAGGAGGGAATTGGAGAAGGAATGAGCGGTTGCGATTGTTATCTTGCTTTGTTTTAATGTTTTACCCGCCACGGTGCACATGTATTCGCATATCATCATCTAGTTTTGTCTGAATATACGGCAGAGATGCTAATGTTCATCTACTAAGAAGTGAGTCGAGCATAGAAAAGCTGGCCATAGAACCCGCGAACTATATGCATGTCATGTTAGGTGTCCTCCGGTACCCAGCCCGGAGTTGCCCAGAATGGCATTTCCGTAGCGAAGCTCCATTTACTCGTCGTATACCTGTATTGAAGAAATTAGTTCTGTAAGCAGAGTTGATAAATGTCCGTACATTACCTCAACGCGTGCAAACAGATGTACAGTTGCGATGGTTTGGGATCAGGGTATACCGGCAAGAAGCATTCTTCGCAATAAGAGAACGATTCCCCAACGACCACGGCAGCAGGGGACTCTGAATTTTGACTGAGCAAATTTCCTTCGTTCGACAAGTGTGAAGAATCGATTGGTGCCATTTTTGATGCTTCTTCCTGTCGCTGTTCACGAATGTGTCGAGGAACTTGATTCCGCATTGTGGCCGAAACGCTATTGACACCCTGCGTCTGTCATCATGTTAGTCATGAACGGTGCATATATACGAATTCACCAACCTTTACAAAAGCCTTAGTCTTGAAAACAACATCCTTCCATCTGGAAAACTCTTCCGATTCATCCTTTTTGTTTCGTAAGGCCTTGATGACTTGCAACGTTTCCTCACTCAACGGGACTGGCGAGGCTGCTCCTACATCAGTTCCATCTTCCCTGGGTAGCAAGTCTTGATCGCCAGGATTGTCAGTGCGACTGGGTGGAGTGAAACGAGGTGCGCGTTTTCCCACTGCCGATGGCTTCTGCTTAGGCTTATTGGAGTTTTGCGAGCGATTCCGATTCTTGGGCGGTCTATGTTTGTTGGGAGGCATTGATTCGAAGAGTGAGGAGATGACATCTGGATCAATCATGTTGATATGACTCTCCAATGGTGTGTCCTCTGGAGGACTGGCTTGTGGTTCCTCAAGCGCGGCTGGAGTAGATGTAGCAGTAATGGGTGTTCCACCTCCCTCAATAGTTGGAAAATCATTTGAGAGCGACGAAGATATCTGGTTATCCAATTCAGCATTGGGAGTTGAGTCGTAAGCATCGGGAGCCTTGGTTGACAAAGCGATAGAGAGATCATTTGACGTCCGGATTGAAGATTTGTTTGGCTCCTCAGTAGATTCCGACTCTATGGGCTTGGAGTCCGTCTCCGAGACTTGATTGCTTTCTTGTTGATGAGATTTTTGATCCACCTTAGTTGATGAAGGTAAGACAGGAAGGCCTCCTTGGCCTCCACTAGAGCCCTAAGTCCGCATTTCAGC